AGGTTTGCTTCCTTCCACGTGGTGTTGAGCCTGCTGGTGCACATAAGGCAAGAGTTGAGGTTTGGGGACCTCCTCCTAGATGTCAGATGATGTAGGAAAATGCCTGGATATTCAGGCAGAAGTCTGATGCAGGGGCTGAGCCCTAATGGAGTATCTCAACTAGGCCAGTGTAGAAGAAAAATATGGTGTTGAATCTCCCACACAGAGTTCCCACTGGGGCACTGCCTAGTGGATCTGTGATAAGAGCACCACCTTCCTTCAGACCCCAGAATTGTAGATCTACAACAGCTTGCATGGTGTGCCTGGAAAAGCCATAGGAACTCAATGGCAGCCTACAAGAGCAGCCATGGGACTGTACCCTACAGAGCCACAGGGTGGAGCTTCCCAAGGCCTTGGGAGACAACCTCTTGCATCAGTGTGTCCTGGATGTGAGACATGAAGTAAATGGAAATTATTTTGGAGCTTTATGACGTAATGACTGCCCTGCTGGGTTTTGGACTTGCATGGGTCCTGTAGCTCCTTTGTTGTGGCCAATTTCTCCCATTTGGAATGGGAGCATTTATGCAGTCCATGCACCCCATTGTATCTTGGAAGTAACTTACTTTTGATTTTACAGGTTTATAGGTGGAAAAACTTACCTTTTCTCAAAGGAGACTTTAGAGTGTAGATTTTTGTGATAATGCTGAAATGAGTTAAGACTGGAAGACTGTTGAGAGGGGATAACTATATTTTGCAATGTGAGAAGGACATGAGATTTGTGATGGGCCAGGGGTGGAATGATATGGTTTCACTCTCTGTTTCCACCCAAATCTCACGTCCAATTTTAATGCCCAAGTGTTGTAGGAAGGGTCTGATGGGGAGTGATTGAATCGTGGGGTTGGCCTTCCCCTTTGCTGTTCTTGTGATAGAGTTCTCACAAGATCTCATGGTTTAAAAGTGTGGCACTTCTCCCCTTGCTCTTTGTCTCTCTCCCCTGCCAGCATGTGAAGAAGGTCCTTGCTTCTCCTTCAGTTTCCATGATGACTATAAGTTTGCTGATGCCTCCCAGTAATGCCTCCTGTTAAGCTGGTGGAACTATAAGCCAACTAAACCACTTTTCTTCATAAATTAAATTTCTCAGTCTCAGGTAGTTCCTTATATTTGGGTGAAAATGGACTAAAACACAGGTTGAAATAGTTCTAGAGATCAAACATACAGCAATGTGACTATACTAATGAATACTGTAAAACGTATCTTTCGCCAGAGAGTAAATCTTAGGTGTTTTTTTCACACACACACAATAAATTAAAGGCACAAAGTGATAACTCTCTGAGATGATAGGCATGCCAATTACCTTGATCATGATGAGCATTTCCCCAAGTATATCAAGACATCAAGTGGTGTACCTTAAATACATACAATTTTATTTGTCGGTGATAGCTCCATAAAGTTGAAAAGTTATAATGCATGCTTACATTAACACATATTTTATCAAAAACATGTGAGAATATAAACAGAATAACTTGTATGAAGATATTTATAATAGTTTTGTTTATGATATTTTTATTGGAAACAAATTTAAATTCCATCAACAGGAAAATGGGTATATATAGAGTCACTTATTCACTTAATGAACCAATTTATTTATTTAATAAACTGTCATTTATTAATGTAATGGACTGATTCAGACATGAAATACCTACATGTGTATGAGTACATATGTATGTATTTATACATGATGACAAAACCTTGATAGATGCAATTACATGAATGAACCTCACAAATAGCAAAAGTAGCCCCTTACAAAAAATGATCTATAATATTTGATTCCATTTATATGAACTTCAAAACAAGAAAAATGGAGCTATAGTGACTGAAATCAGAAGATTTTTCTATTTGCATTTCTGTAATGATTAATGATGCTTAGCATTTTAAAAATATGTTTGCCGGTCACTTGTATGTATTCTTTTGTGAAGTGTCTGTTTGTGTCATTTGCCCATGTATTAGTCCATTTTCAAACTGCTGATAAAGACATAACCGAAACTGGGAAGAAAAAGAGTTTTAATTTGACTTACATATCCACGTGGCTGGGGAGGCCTCAGAAGCATGGCAGGAGGCAAAAGGCACTCCTTAGCTGGTGGTGGCAAGAGAAAATGAAGAAGAAGCAAAAGCAGGAACTGCTGATAACCCCATCAGATCTCGTGAGATTTATTCACTATCACGAGAACAGCACAGGAAAAATGGGCCCCCATGATTCAATTACCTTCCCCGGGTACCTCCTACAACATGTGGGAATTCTGGGAGATAAAATTCGAGTTGAGATTTGGGTGGGGACACAGACCAACAATATTAGCCCATTTTTAATAGGGTTATTTGTTTTTGCTTCTTGATTTGCATTTAAATTTCCTATAGATTCTGGATATTGGGACTTTCTTGGATGCAACATTTGTGAATATCTTCTAACATTTTGTAGGTAGTCTCATTATTCTGCTGATAGTTTTGTTTGCTTGTTTGTTTGTCTGTTTGTTCATTTTGCTGAGTGGAAACTCCTTAGTTAATTAGGTCCCACTTGTCTATTTTTGTTTCTGTTGCAATCGTTTTTGGATACTTAGCCAAAAATTCTTTGTCAAAGCTGGGGTTGAGAAGAATATTTCCTAGGTTGTCTTCAAGGATTTTATGGTTTGAAGTCTTACATTTAAATAGTTCATCGATTTTGAGTTAATTTTACATATGTTGAGGGTAGACGTCCCGCTTCCATCTTCATCTTATGGCTAGCCAGTTGTCCCAGCACCATTTGTTGAACAGCACCATTTATTTACTTCCTTACTGCTTGTTTTCGCCTGCCTTCTCAAAGGTCAGATGATTGTAGCTGTGCGGCCTCAGAAGGTGCAACCACTCAGAATGGCTGTCACTAAAAAGTCAAAATACAATGGATGCTGGTGGGGCTGTGGAGAAAAGAGAACACGTATACTGTTGATGGGAAGAAGAATTAGTCTTGGCCACTTTGGAAAGCAGACTGGAGATGTCTCAAAGAACTTAAAACAGAGATATCATTTTACCCAGCAATTCCACTACTGGGTGTACACTAAAAAGTAATCAAATAATTCTTTATTTCTGCACACATTTGTCAGAAACCCTCAAAATGTACATTGAAAATCCAGGCATTTTTATGTTAATTTTATCTAATAAAAAAAGAACATAGACAATTGTAGGCAATATTTTGTAATGAAAATAAAACCTTTGGCCGGGCGCGGTGGCTCAAGCCTGTAATCCCAGCACTTTGGGAGGCCGAGACGGGCGGATCACGAGGTCAGGAGATCGAGACCATCCTGGCTAACACGGTGAAACCCCGTCTCTACTAAAAAGTACAAAAAACTAGCCGGGCGAGGTGGCGGGCGCCTGTAGTCCCAGCTACTCCGGAGGCTGAGGCAGGAGAATGGCGTAAACCCGGGAGGAGGAGCTTGCAGTGAGCTGAGATCCGGCCACTGCACTCCAGCCTGGGTGACAGAGCAAGACTCCGTCTCAAAAAAAAAAAAAAAAAAAAAGAAAATAAAACCTTCATAAAATATATATGAAAATTCAAATACAAAATGTAAATGTGATTTTTACAATAATTATTAAAATGTATTCAGCTATACTAGAATAAAATTCCAGGAATAAGAAAGATAAAAGTGATATATCTAAATGAAAAATTAATAAACACAAATTTCACAGATAATTATAACCTGTCTAAAAACATGTGGAACCTTTTATATTATTAGTTATGCAAAATTAATAAACTAGTGATATATTTTAACCTGTTTTATCAGGAAAAATTACAAATATTTTGTGTAAAATCATAATTGGGACAGCCAACAGGAAAATAACAATATTTGCAAGCACATGTTTTAAATGTTAATATATTCTCAATGTTGGCCCAGTTATTACAGCTGTGGTCCTGAGGAGATGGCCTAATCCAAGGAGAGGGAGGCTCCAGGTCGTGTGGACTCACACTGGGCACCTGCTTCTGCCCGTCCCGCAGCCACTCCCTGAAGCCTTCAGGAGACAGGGGTGCCGATGTGGCCTTGAGACGATCCAATGAGATCCAGAAGTGAAGAAAAAGATAATGATCTGGGATAGATTTTAAAATTTAAAATAGAAATTTTATTGTAAATTCACAAATTACTGTCATTTATATTCACAAGGCAAGAAGCAATATTATGATTTGTGAATATAATATGGAATAACTAAGAAAAATAAGAAATAATTAAGATAATTATCATTCATCACTTCAAATTCTGATCATTTATTGTGACATTTCAAATGTAGTCTTAGCTCTTTTGAAATGAACAATATACAACTTTTAAATTAGCAAATATAAATCAATTCACGTAAACAAGTAAAAATAACAAATCAATTATGAATTTCTCTAATAATTTATATTTTTGTCATCATTAAGTTTGTTTCTTTAGGACATATTTTCAGAATTATTTTATCGGAATGTTTAATATGAATGCCTGCACATATATGCATAGGTCTGTGTATTTATGCGTCTTTCTTTTTTCTTTTTTTTTTTTTTTTGAGATAGAGTCTCACTCTGTCACCCAGGCTCGAGTGCAGTGGCCCAATCATGGCTCACTGCAACCTCCACCTCTAGGGTTCAAGCAATTATCCTGCCTCAGTTTCCCGAGTAGCTGGGATTACAGGTGTGAGCCACCATACCCGGCCTATACATCTTTCTGTGTGTATAAATATATGTCCCTATAGCTATGCAGTTGCTAATGTCAACAAATGTTAATAAAAGTCTGGAAGAATCAGTGCAAATAATTAGCAGTGCATATTTCTTGAAAGTATATATTTTAAAAATCTATATGGAATTTTAATAATATTTTAACACTAACGATAACAAATTCATAATAAATACGAGTAATGAAATATCACAGCCTAGAATGCTCCAGAGTTCTGCAAATACAAACCTGACTTTTCCAGCTGAGGACAAAGGAAACCTCGCCCTGCACCTGCTCCTGGGACCTGTCCCGTCCTCAGTGGGTCCCGAGCGCCCCCTGGAGGCCCCGCGCGCCCCTGCAGGGAGGTTTGTGTCTGGGCTCACACTGACCTCGCCTCACTGTGTCCCTAGTACAGTAATACACGGCCGTGTCCTCGGTTTTCAGGCTGCTCATTTGCAGATACAGTGTGTTCTTTGAATCATCTCTTGAGATAGTGAATCTGCCTTTCACCGATGCGGCGTATTCTGTCTCGTAATTGTTAGATTTGCTTCTAATATAGCCAACCCACTCCAGGCCCTTCCCAGAAACCTGGCGGACCCAGCTCATGGCATAATCACTGAAGGTGAATCCAGAGGCTGCACAGGAGAGTCTCAGGGACCCTCCAGGCTGGACCAAGCCTCCCCCAGACTCCACCAGCTGCACCTCACACTGGACACCTGCAAACACAGAGACATCACACTGGTCAGAAATTGCCACACATATCCACTGTTCCTCTCACTCATGTCCCCTCACACTCCACATCTCTATTTCTCCATGAATTACCTTTTAAAATTGCAACAAGGAAAACCCAGCTCAGTACAAAATCCATGGTGAGTCTCCTGTGTTCAGTGCCGATCACCAAGTGAAGACAGCTGGAAATCCCAAGGCTGGGTCTCCTCTCCCAGAGCTGCAGGGTCAGGGCTGGGCTGCTTTTCATCACCCAAAGGGGGGTCTTATTTGCATGTCTCCTACTATATAGCAAGCTCAGGGGTGTGACGCCTCAGGAGAGGGCTGTGCACACAGTAGATGAGGGTGTCCTGGGGGAGATTGGTAGTAATCCTATCATTCAGGAAAATATAATTTCATATTATGTGATTGTGCCTTGATATTCATTTAGCAGTCATCATCTAATTTCATTTTTACATATTTGCACACTGTATTTCCCCTTATATATTTCTGAAGTCCCTTGGCTTGTCTGTTTGAGTGATGTATCTTTCCTCGACACTGAAGGGTATGATGTCATCGTTCACAGGTGCAGTCCTGGATGTACACGTAGTCTCCACGGAAACGCTGTCATTTGGCAGTGTTGCTTTTGACAGATTTATTACCTCATTTTTCTGCTTGACGGTTTGTGTCTCTTAACATCCCATCTAGATTTTACACTGTGCTCATTTCTGGCAAGGGGACACTGTTTTGTAACATAAATTGTTCAACAATCTGATGGAATTAAATTGGGGTTTCTTTTAAGTGGCAGTTTTTGAGGTTTGTCCCAACCCCAAAATGTTACTGATTCTTTTCAAGAAATGGAGTCTAGCTATGTTTCCAGGCTGGGCTTAAAATCCTGGGCTCAAGTGATCCTCTCACCTCAAACTGCCAAGTAATGGAACTCCAGGCAGTGCCACAGTGCCCAGCTGGTTATTCTTCAATTATAGATTTTCTTATTCTCTCTGTTAAAATGAGTGGACTATTGTTTCCTATATTGCTTTCATGGAGCTGTCAGCTTTCTATTTTTAATTACTTACCATGAAAGCTGCTAACATTTTAGATGAAGTTTAGGGTTGAAATTATCCTCATTTGACTGCTAATCAAGTCACGCCCTTTAGAGAGAGCTTCGTATCACTGTTTTTATGCCCTGCCTCTATCACTGTAAAAATATACCAGACTCTACCTTGGTGCAGAAGAAAGGGTTCAAGTATCTCAGAGGGACATTCCTGCTTTAAGTACAGGAAACTGCCTGGGAGTGGTGGACTCCTATGTTCTCATTGTGCCTCTCCCAGGAAGCTCCCCAGACCCTCTCGCCTGCAAGTAAGCTGGCATGAGAATAATCAGGGTCTACCTGTTCTTGGCCTGTAATACATGGCATGGAAACTATGTCTCATGAGTGAGGCTGGGAGGAGAAAGGCATCCATCAAATCACAGACTGGAATTTAGTCTCCACCATAAGGACCTGATGCCATGACGTCAACTGAGATCTGGGGGAGAGGGAAGCACCACCTTCCTGTCAGTCCAGCCCAGGGTCAAGCTTCTGTCATCCTGAGATGTAAAGAAGAGGGTAATGCTCTTCTCTCAAGTATTCTGGGTCCTCACTGCACTTGCTGAGACTATTTGAGCTGCTGTGAGAGAATACCATGGACTGGGTGGCCCAGAAGTAACAGAAATGTATTTGTCCCGATTTTCAAGGCTGGGAAGTTCAAGATAAAGATGCCTTAGAGATTCGTATCTGGTGAAGTCCCAATTCTTTATTTATAGATGGCCACCTTCCTACCATGACCACACCTGGTGGAAGGAAAGAGGGAGCTCTCTGGGGTGTTTTATCAGGGCACTAATTCCACTCATGAGATGGAGCCTCAACACCTTTCAAAGGAGACCAAAGGCCCCGCCTCCTGCCACCATCACATTGGAGTTGAGATTCCAACGTAGGCCTTATGGGGGTCATAACCATTCAGTCAATAGGAGCACATTATGTCAATCAATGGATTTCATTTACTGTGTGTTCTTAGAATAATTTTCCTTGATATTATAGGTTGAGTTTCTATAATTTTTATCAGATGAGGTTGCTTCTTTGGAAAGCTTGAAGTTTCTGACACCATCACCCTGGTAATGAGATAACTCTATTCGTATTCGTGATTGAAGCTTCCTCATTCGGGTCATAAGCATTTGGAATGTTCTTCTCTTAAATTATTTGCCATGATGAAATAAACTTATCCCCCCTCATCAGTGTTACCATTTGTTCAGAAATACATTTTTTATATTTTAATATCGCAAATTCACCTTTCTTTTATCTTTATCACGGTGTCTTTCTGTATATTTTTAAATTTGTAAGTGAATATGTTTAAAATTTAGGGTAATTTTAGATTTTAAGGAAAGCCCCCTGTAGTAGGGTGTGATCTCGTGTACAACTTGCCCTGGTTCCCTCACACTGATCCGCACTCTGCCAATGCTGGGTTTCTCTCCTGCCGTCTGTGGGACCCGCTCTCTGAACAGTGTTCTGCTATCCACTGTCTATTCTGTGTTCTCCACACTTCCTGGCCTGTCTGGGATCTCAGCTCCTTTTCCTCAACTTCAAATCTACCTGGTTCCACTTCAGCACTGTGGCCTGGAAACTCGCTAAAGAAAATATTGAAGCGTTCATTAATCACACAGCTCCTTTTGTATATTTTCCCCCTCCCAGCAATCACTGTCCTTGTTACTTGATGTCACACATCTTAAAATCATGTTTAAGAAATTTCACTGTGTTTTACAGTTATTTCTGGTGGAAAGTTACATCTGGTCTTTGTTGTTAAACCTTGTTTGAAAGTCATCTTGCACATAAATATTAGAATCAATTTTATGATGTTCAACAAGATTTATCTTGGAAGAAAAAAATAATATATATATATATATTCAAACCTAAATTCCAGGAGACATCTCTGTAGACATGTGTTATAATGGTTATATATTTATATATTTGGTAGAATTAATGTTATACTTAATTTTAAAAATATTCAAAATATCTATATCTATCACATACGTAATGCACAAGTTCTATGATGCCCTGACACAAAACTTTATTTGTCTTTCTATGGGTTCTTCCCAAGGAAACAGGGGGAGATGTTTTAGGCCACTGATCCCAGCGGTGCCTTCAGAGACCCTGCCCAGAACATGACCCAGCAGGGAAATGAGAGATTTCTGTCTCTTGCTTGGCATCCTGTCTCCTTCACAGGGAAATCTGAGCTCTTCCTCTATCCCTGGGTTGGGCAGCTTCACCATTCAGGACACTGAGGGACAGACAGAGGGTATGTCAGGCCACAGACATCAAAGGCCACAGTGTGGATGAGGATTGAGGTGCTAACCTGCCCTAGTGAGAACAGAGACCTCCATGGTCAGAGCCACAGTAAATGATCTTAACCATGTGGGGATCTGTGTTCCTGTCTGAGAGAAGCGTCCACACGGGGACAGTGTGTGCCTGTCTGAGAGTGAAGGCTCATTCATGAAGGTGTCTACCTAGACTCAGGTTGTGTTTGGGGAAATATTTCTCACTCACAAGATAATGAGAAACTTGAGTGATCTGTTTTTGGAAAAGAAAAATAGGTCATGGAGAAACCCCATGCAGGAAGAGAATCTGGACAATGTTTATGAAAACACACTTTACTATGAAGGACATTCCTATCTAAGAAGGAAAGCACTGTCTCTTTATAGCCTAAATATTACCCAAATTTGTCCTAGACCGCATAGAAAAATCATACTGATACGCTTTATAGATTAACTGGATACCAAAGATACCGGTGCCACTTATTTTTATGATACTTCACTAATACCCTATTAGTTGACCAGTGTTCATCTAGAGACCCTTTCCCATGAAATGTTTTTGTTGTTGTTGTTTTTGTTTTTGTTTTTGTTTTTGAGACAAACTCCCGCTCAGTCGCCCAGGCTGGAGTGCAGTGGCGCAGCTTTGGCTCACTGCAACCTCCACGTCCTGAGCTCAAGCCATTCTCCTGCCTCAGCCTCCCGAGTAGCTGGGATTACAGGCACCTGTCACCGTGCCTGGTTAATTTTTGTATTTTTAGTAGAGACGAGGTTTCACCATGTTGGCCAAGCTGGTCTTGAACTCCTGACCTCAGGTAATCTGCTCACCTCAGCCTCCCAAAGTGCTGGGATTACAGGTGTGAGCCACCGCGTCTGGTCAAAATGTAATTATTAATTCAATAAACATTTATACCACGAGACAAATTGTCTTCCTGATGACTAGATATGCATGCTGATTTTGATATAATGATCATGATATTGACAATTAAGGTGGCATTCTCAGAAAAAAATGACCCAGGTTCAAGGAAGGAGTTAACTGCAGAGTCATACTTATGTCTTTTTTGCTTTGGGACAAGAAAGACATGAGTTAAAAACAACATAGTGCGTGGTCTCCTGAGGGCTCCATGCTGTGAAGGAAAAGAAGACAACCTTAGATGGTGATCAGAGGCTCCCTGGCTGGTTCCTCTCTGCAGCTGCTTCTCACTGGGTCTCTGCCTTGAGTGAGTTCTGAGCATCTCCTGCTGGTCCTTTGAGGTCTGTGCATCCCGGATAAAGGAAGCTTGGGGATCTGCTTCTGAGATGCCAAGTTGTTTGTCTGGTTCCTGGAAAAGAACTCGCCAGGGCTGGGAGCTGCACCTTGGATCTCAACCATGTGACCTCGCCTGTGTAGTGAGCTTCCTCAAAGCCTAAAGACAGGATCAGCTGAGTGGCTCTCCCTTCAGACGTTAGTGGAGGCAATTTTCTGCAAATCTAGTTGTAGTTTGACTATACAATTCAGCAATTATGTTTTTAGCAATGCACTTAAATGACTATGTCCACACAATGAACCATATATGGCTGTTCCTTTATATTTCCCAAATACTGGGGACATTAAAAAAAATCCTGATTAGTTCAGCAAGTTGTGGGGTTTGAATCAGGAAACTAGGGGTTAACATTTTCTATAACCAAACTTATAAATAAAAAAGATAAGAAAATGGAGTCAGAAAAATGGAGCTTCCATTATTACGTAGAATCTGATGGTAGTAATTTACGAAACAGAGCTGCAGTGAAATAAGCTACCAAGTGACCTCATTCTGAACTCATCTTTAGAGCTGACCAGCAATCACTAGGTGTGGGGCAGCTCGTAATTCCCCTACATAGAAAAACACCCTGACTCCATAAAACTGCACTTGGGGTCTCTTCAGGCTCTGAGGTGTGCAGGAGAAGCTCCTACCCCAAAGTTTGCAGTCAGTCAAGTTTCTGCTCTTTCCTTTGGGCCATGAGAGTTAGAGTAGACAAGGCCCAGACATGCTCTACTCAAGGCCTCTGCACATGGCTAAAAAAATGCAAGTGTGAAATGCATGCTATCAATCCATGAAATGATACCCATGAAAAATGTAATTGTTCCAGGACGTCGTGCAGAATGAAGAAATAATACAATTGGAG